AGCAGAGAGAAACCATCCAGCCCGAGGTGAAGCTTGGCAAGAGCTGTGTGGCACAGAGCAGAGCAGCACTAACGAAAGGTTCAGAGTGTTCAAACAGCCTCATTCTCCCCAAAATGCAGTGATTTGTTCTGTGGTACTGCTGGAAGCGTGTGACCCACACTGCTCCCCTAAATCTGCAAACCTTTCCCATTGATGGATGCCTTTCCCTTGGAATGGACAACCGACTTTGCAGCGTGCAAGACACACAAACACAAACACACACTTAATTTAAGAAGGAGTAAATAATGCAATACAATCATTAGAAAAGGATTGGCCAATAGCAGAACTTAAAATCACACTGCAGAATCTCTGCTGGTTTTTGCTTTTCCAGCTTGGCTGTTGTCCATCACAGAAGCAATAAAGAGAGGCATCTTCAGGTTACTTCATTCTCTTTGCCACATCCAAGTAAGCATATTCGATCTCCTGGTCAGCAGGGCACGTGTTTGTGAATTCATCTCTTGCATATGCATTTTTCAAGTATCTGGAAATCCCTGTCATTTCAGGTGGGAAGTGAAAATTTCGGTATTTTTTTGCAACGACCTTTCATGAAAAGAAAAAAGGGTAAAGAAGAAAAACATCATTACACATATGATCTGCAAATCCCAAAAGACCCCAAGCCTACTCTTTATGCCTGTTTTTCATTTCCAGTGTGTGAGTCTGGTGTTGTTGGTGACCAAGGGCAAAGAAGAAGGAAAGACATAAAAAGAAGAGATGGGGTGGAGAAAGTTGCTGAACTCCCTGTAAAGGATTTGTTTTGTGTCTATATCTCTATTTTTATCTATATCTTGCCAAAGATGTGCAAAGCCATGTGGATCAGTAGAACAAACTGGAAGAGATCCAGATTAACCCAGCAAACTTAAGCTAGAATGAACAGAATAAACCTATAGGAATAAACTTGTAAACTTTCACAGAAACACATGAATGAAAAAAATGAAAAAGATTAATTTTAAAAAATAAAAAATATGAATTAAAATATTAAAAATATAAATATTAATTAAATATAAGAAAATACAAATTTAAATATATAAAATATTTAAAATTAAAATATGAAAAATATTAAATAAAAAATAAGAAAAATATGAATTAAAAGCCTTAATTTCAAATGATCAGGGAGGACAGCTCTTGGCTGAGCCCTGATCCCTGCCTGCAGGCAGCAGGGGTGATGTGGCAGTGTGACATTCCTCCTGTGTCCCTCTCCAGACATTCCCCTGACCCAGGGCATTCTCCCCCATGCTGGCCCTGGCTGCTTCCCAAGGTTTGCTGTGCCTGAGTGTGGCAAAGGGCTCATCCCTGGCT